TAAAAAAGAAGAGCAATTACATCAGTCTGGAGGTTAAGGTGTACTTATTCAGGGCCATAGTCTTCACAATTACTTACAAAGCATCAGAGGGCTGGACAATGACTAAGGATAACAGAAGAAGACTTGATGCCTTCGAGTTGTGATGCTGGAGAAGAGTGTTAAGCATACTGTGGACCTCCAGGAGAACAAACAAGTCAGTCTTGGAGAGGGAGAAACTAAGTGGCTCCCTGGAGGCAAGTATTTTGAATCTCTGTCTCACATACTTTGGGCACATGGCCAGGAGAAGAACATCATTCTTGGAAGGGTGGAGGGACCGTGCAGGAGAGGAAGTTCCAGGGTGAGATGAATTGACTCAGTGACTGGAGAAGTGAGACTGGGTCTGTCAGAAACTACGAGATTGACTCAGGATAGGTCAGGGTTCAGAGCTGTTGTACACAGGGTCACAATGAGTCGCAGGTGACTTGATAGCACATAACAACAATAAAAGAGTTCTGGTGACCTACTGGGTAAAGAGTGACACTGCCATATCAAAGGTAAATGATTCAAACCCAGAAGCTACTCTACAGAAGAAGGATGGGCAATCTCCTCTCATGCAATTTACAGCCTCTGAGCAGTGGCTGGAGGGTGAGCTATGAGTTAGTTTCAACACATGGCCCATAACAACACTGGATACACTGAGTGTTGAATAGACTGTCAAAAGAACAAACAAATCTGTCTTGGAAGAAATATATCCAGGCTGTTTCTTACAAGTTCAGATGATGAGACTTCACCTTGCAAACTTCAGGCATGTTATCAGAATGGGTCAGTGTTAGGAAAAGGACATCCTGTTTAGAAAGAAGAAGGATCAGAGGACAAGAGGAAGACCCTGAACAAAATCAGCTTAAGCAGTGATTGCAACAATAAGCTTAAGGCCAGTGAAGATTGTGAGGATGGGGCAAGAATAGACGAGCCTTTCAATTGTTAAACAACAATCTAACAACAGTATTAACACTTAAAGTGTAACTGCAAGGGGAGACTGCTCACAGAGTTGCTATGAGTTATATTGATTCAACAGCACACAGCAGCATTATGACCTTAAGGCAAAACTTTTCAAAACACAAACAAAAGCATAGATGAATGTTTCACACATGTAAAATGCTGTAACACCAACAACTCTTGAGTTGTTACTGTTATCTTAATGTTATGTACCATTGAGTTAAGAAATATAGCTGACTCTCCAGCGAATTTTCCAAGGCTGTAAACTGTATGAGGGGAAACTTCTCATCTTTCTCCCACTGAGAAGATGGCAGATTAGAACCACATGCCTTTTGATTGGCAGTGCAATCATTTATCACCAAGCCACTGATCCTCTGTTCTTGCTGTTGTTAAGTGCTGTCGAGTCAATTACAACTTATAGTGATTCTATGAACAATGGATCTAAATGTTGTCCTATCCTGTGCCATCCTGACCATCTCTAGTATCCGGGAGCCCACCAGCACCATCATTTTGTCAATCTATCACGATAAGAGTCTCCCCCTCCTTTACAGACCCTTTACCTTTTCAAGCATCAAGTAATTTTCCAAAAACTGGTCCCTCCAACACACTCAAAGTATGTGAAACAAAGCTTCATTGCTCTTTCCTCCAAGAAGCA